TTTATCCTAAGGATAAGGAAGTAATTCTAAATATGGGAAACTTTTATACACAAAGATGCTCGTTTTCAGTGTGGTGTAATTTACACAAGAAAGTGTCCTGCTATAAGGATGTGATTCGTTAAAATATGGCAATCGACTTGAAGGCATTTAACCGTTAAAAATACTTTTTTAGAGCAGTAGTTTCTTACTACTTTTTAAGTTAAAAATTAAAGAGTGCTCAATATAAATAGAAGTTCAAATAATATAAAAATATACAGAATTTAAAAAGTGGAAATAGTATTTCAAGTCCTTCGTTACCCTACTTCTCCAATCTAGGCCAAGCTGGTTCTCCAGAGGTCAGTGCTCTGAACTTTTTGGTATCTGTCCTTCCAGGCCTTTTTTCTAACCCAGTGATTTTCAAACTGTGCTCCAAGGAGGGGCGTTGGGGTCTTTTCAGGTTAGGTAAGGTGGGGACTGAGTGGTGGTTCAACCCAGACTGCTTTGCTTTTTACCTATTGTCTGTATTGGGATTTCACACAGGGTTTAGTTTAAACAAGGAATTCCTCTGCATTCAAAATAGGTATTCAAAAACAATTAGCCTTATTTAGAAAATGAAGTCTTAACCCTCTTAGGAATTCCAGATCTTCTCCAGTTTACCATTTTGCTGTTTGGTGACAGGACTGTTCTACTGAGACCTATTTATTCATTTCCCCAGCAGTTTTCTGCCTGCCTGCCAGCCACCTTGTTAGAATGCACCTAGTCTTCTTTTTTTCCCATCTCTCTAAATGTTACTTGTTCTTGAAGGTTTGACTTGTTATTGTTTCGTTCACGCCTTCTTTCTAGGTGTATTTAGTGGACACCACCTACCTTTTGACTAATTACTGAGTGGAGAGTATACAGAATTTTGTATCAAAAGCTCATAGACTAGTAGAGGGTGACCTTCATGTAAATAAGTGCAGTTATGTATTATAAAGTAAGAGCATTTGAGGGGCAGATACTGAAGATATATGTGATCTCATCTACACTATTTTATATGGCACTTATAAAAAGGGGAGTTGATTATATGGGTACATTTCTGGGTCTTTTTTATTGAGTAGTAAGAAGATAATGCAGAAGGTAATTCACCTGTGAATTAGAGAGGAGACTTAGGACTTAGTTTTCATTCTTGAGCAGTCAACGGTGTTCAAAATAACCCAGACCAACTGACTGGATTCCACTGTTGGGCACAAATGGAGTTGGGAGAGAGCACTGGAAGGACCTTGGTCCTGGACTCCTTGTCTCCCGTGGCCACTCACACTGGTGTACAGAGGATGCCTGTAGTTTCTTCTTTATCATTAGCTGGTTGGTCAGAAAGTCATGGATTTGAGTCCTGTATCTTTATCTAAACTGACTTTACAACTTGGGCATATTACTTAACCTCTCTGAGACTCAGTTCCCAAACTGTAGCATGTCTATCTTCTAGGTTTTTAGAAAAGAGTATATAAGTACAGACAAATGAAGTCTATTCTTTTTGCTCTAAGTGGTTTTGATGTTCTATAGAATGGGTGACTGTTCTCCTTTCTTTTGAGTTTAAGTTTTTAAATATTTTGGAGGCCTTATGGATTAGACTCTCATTCTGTGAAGAAGTGTTTTTTAGTCTGAAAGTGACGTTTTGATAAGCTATTCTTATCCCTGGTAAGATAAGAATAAACAATACAGGAAAGGAATAGGGCCAGAGAATGTTTAGTGGGGAAGTAAATCTTTTCAATTATTATCTGGCCTATTCCTTTGGGATTTAAAGCAGACTGTATATCTGTGATCAAGAAAGCAAAATTAATAAGTAGGCCCAGAGTCTAAAGCCTGGTCTATTTTCATTTTGTCTGCTACTTTCCTCTTTTAGATAACAAACAATAAAGATTTTTTATAGTAACATTCTAATTCTCTTTGTTAAAAAAAATCAGAAAATTCTTGTACTGTGGCATTTCTGAATTGTAAGGTTTCAGAATAACCCCAAACTCATGATTCTCTTTGTAATGCTTCACATTCTGGTGAGTAATCTTAGTTCTCTAGTCCAGAATAAACCTTAAAGTAATGGCTTAAGGTCATCTGTTTTATTTGTAAATTGTAAAAATGTTGTTTAGATATCTTTTTAAAATTTAAAAAATACAGTAAATGTGATATTTAAATTTAACAACACTGTTAGAGCTACTTCCTAGTCCAGCTTTCATTTTCTTTGTTCCTTTTAAAGCATTGTGGTTTCCTGAAAACCTGTGTTGTTTAGTATATATACATACTGTTTGGTGTGTGTATATTACCAGTCAGCGTGTATATATATACACACACACAGTACTTTGTAGCAATCTGGCACTTTAATTAAAAGTAGGATCAGTATGTTGTATAAAATGTAAATATTAAACTTCAGTTTATTTTTTGGAGAAGAGTAGAACAAGATAGTTGATCTGAAAAGTATAAACCAGGGGTTTAATACAGCAATGTACAACATTTCTGTAATTGTATGGGCTAGTATATTCCTTAGTAAAGGGAGAAAGAGATGGGAAGTTAGATTTTGAGCCTTCTATGAAAATGTGTAATAATAATGATGAGAACAGTGATAATTAGCTAATATTTATTGAAGGTCCAGTACATTGTCCTAAGCACATTACATGTATGAAGTCATTTAATCCTCACAATAATCCAATGGAGGAGATAGTTTTTCATGAGGAAGCGAGTATAGAGGCATAAGTCCCGTAGCTAGTGGAAGTCAGAATTTAAGCCAAAGCAGTTTGATGTTAGAGCCCAGCCTCTTAACCGCTATCACTGTCTTAGTGTGTTGACACTTCTTCACATTTAATTTTTTGAAAGCAAATCATCTCTTTTAATTGAAGTGTGAAGATTTGCTGAATAAGTCACTTGAAATTCCCCTCCAAAATCACTCAATGCAAATCATGTTATTGATTTATTCATCTAACGAAAACATTCAAATATCTTGATAAGCTTTGTACAGTTTCAAACGTAGCATAAAGCATTTGCCCGTGATTCCACATGAATAATACAGGTTTGAACAGGCAATTAATATTCTCCTTTTCAAAATGCGTTTGACTGAAATCTGTGTACTCAGGTATGGGATTTTGATTGTGTGTAGATTTTTTCCATCTGAGTTTAAACTTATATTATTCCTTAGAACAAAACCTATTCTTTTCTCAGTCCCTGGGGCCAGTGTTTAATAGACAATCCAAACATGTGTTTGAGCATTAGCAAGAGGGTACTAAAAGAGGGGGAAAATTTTAGTAATTTAATGTTTTGTAATTTTTTTTCACTTGTGTATATATATATATTTCAGATTCTTTTCCATCATAGATTATTATAGGATATTGAATATAGTTCCTTGTGCTATACAGTAAATCCTTGTTGCTTATCTATCTTTTGTGTAGTAGTTTGTATCTGTTAATCCCATACTCCTAATTTATCCCTTCCCTCGTCCCTTTCCCCTTTGGTAACTATAAATCTGTTTTCATGTCTGTGAGTCTGTTTCTGTTTTGTATATAGATTCATTTGTATTATTTTTTTAGATTCCACATATAAGTGATACCATATGATTTGTTTATCTCTGACTTAATTCATTAAGTATAATATTCTCTATGTCCATCCATATTGCTACAAATGGCAGTATTTTATTCTTTTTAATGACTGAGTAATAGTCTGTTGTATATATATATATACCACCTCTTCTTAAGACAGTGGTCTGTTTATGGGCATTTGGATTGTTTCCATGTCTTGACTATTATAAATAGTGCTGCTATGATCATTGGGGTGCATGTATCTTTTTGAATTACAGTTTTTGTCTTTTCTGAATATATACCCAGGAGTGGGATTGCTGGATCATATGGTAGCTCTATTTTTAGTTTTTTAAGAAACCCTTATACTCTTCTCCATCAGAGCTGCACCAATTTACATTCAAGCCAACAGTGTAGGAGGGTTCCCTTTTCTCCACACCCTTTCCAGCATTTATTATTTGTAGACTTTTTGATAATAGCCATTCTGACAGGTGTTAAGTGGCACCTCATTGTGGTTTTGGTTTGCATTTCTCTGTTAGTGATGTTGAGCACTTTTCATGTGCCTGTTGACCATCTGTTAATGTTTTATAATTTTTAAAGAAACAGTGAAGTACTCTTTCTAGGAAAAGTTGTACTTTTTTGTGACTCTTATTTTGTTTGGAGTAATTATCGTTTTGAATTATATGTGGTGGATGGATGAGACACACCATAGTCTTGGTGGCAGTCTCACCCTGCCTTGGAGCTTGATGGGGCAGATGCAGTTATTTATTCACAGTCATCTAACGAATATAAGATGTAAGTGAAATCATGGCTATGAATACAGCAGAATGTTAGTTGTTTGGAAGTGTTTAGGTTTATGTTAATTGAGTGAAGGCTGTTGCCTTTTGGTTATGTTCTTATTGGGGAATTGTGGAGGGGGAGAAGTAGGAAAGAAAGAAATTTTAGAGTTCCTGGGAGTTTTAATAAGAGGAAGTTGTAAGTCGCCATTAAAAATAACTGTAGGATACTGATAAACTCATTTTTGATTTTTCATGAAATGCAGAAAGAATGCAAAACAGGGTGTATAATATGAGCCTATTTTTATTTTGAATATATATAGAGAAAAATATAGTAAAGCTATCAAATACACTAATACATCATCAGTGATTATCTCTGGATGGTGAGTTTCCAGAATAAACAGTTTTTGTTTGTCCTTGGCCTTTTTTTTTTTAAGCATTGGATACATACTGCTTTTATGAAAAACAGAAAAACAATAAAAGAGAATGCTATGCCAGTGGACATTAGAAGCATTGTTTTACATGAGCTTGAGAAAGAAGGGTAGTCAGGATATTTTTATGAGCAAAGACCAAATACGTGGCAACCAAGTTCATTTTGGGGTGGGTTTGAGCATAGTTCTAGTTTGAACTTCAAGTTGGACTTGAGCCCTTCAGGAAAGGGCTCCTTTTTTTTTTTAAACTGATATTTGAATAAAAAGTCCGCAGTTCTGACCAAAGGGTAGAGCAGAGACTTGATTGCAGAGAGTAAAGATACTGAAAGAGTTAGGTCACTGTTTCAGTTTGATGCCAAGATAGTTGAGTAACAGGACACTGTGTACCTGTGGTTCACCTAATCTGCAGAGAATCTCTTGTAGTGAGTTTGTGCACTTAAGCTGACTTCATAGCTCTGTGTACCAGGGAGTAGGACTGAGGGAAAATACAGTTTGGGGGAGGTAGAAGATCAGCTTAATTTCCCTGGCTGGCGCCATTGTGAACGTGTCCCAGTGAGGAAAGGTAATGTTAGGCTACCACCTGAGGAAGACCTCGCTCAGTTTGGGAGCTGTCCTGTTTCATTACCTAGTGGAAGGTAATGTAATTTATAGTGTGGCCTTTTGATCAGGGTGTTATCATGATGTTTGATTTACCTCCGGGGCAGGGAAAAAAGAAGGGTCCCTGGATGAATTGAAGTGCTCTAAGTAAATATTTGGAATGGAATCACCATGAAAATCATGGGGTCTTAAAATGTAGAAGAATGGGAACCTTACATTGGCAAATCATTTTTCCCTTTCCTTAGATTTTTTTATTTTAAACTTTGACACATTGGCAACCTTTCTGCACTTTACAATTCTGAAAGCTTTTGTTTTTAGTTGTCAGTTGAATTATACGAAAGAGTAAAGTGTGTATTTTAGGTAGGTCCCAGAAGTGTGTTCACATTTAAAAAACTGAATTCTCTCTAAGAATATAAAGATTTATTAAGGCTTAAAATATAAAAGTATACTTTTTAGTGAGTTCTGAATAATAATTACTCTGTATTTTTAAAATACTGATGAACTCTAGTTACCTAGTTTCTAAATTTAGGTATTTCAGATTTATAAGTACCAGAGAAACCAGTAAGGAAATATTGTTAGTCTTTTTATAAAAGACAATATCTACAAGAAGTATTGGTTTAAGAAGAAAGTTACAAAACCAGTACCAGAGAAAATAAAACTAAGAGTATAATATTGAGATGAATAAATCCATCATAGATTTGAGTTTCAGATGTAACTGTAAGTTTTCTTGTTGCTTAAGTAAAATAAAAGGAGACTCAGTCTTTATTAAAGAAAAATACCATTTTCAGTAGCAAGACTTTCTGTAGATATAAATTCTAAATAAAAGTTTCATGTGTCTTTATACAGGGATGAGGGAGGTGATTTTCTCCCCAGCAGTTTGCAGGAAATTAATGAATGTCAATTGCAAGCTAATTGCAGAAGGTAGTCATTGTGTGTTTGGTAGTTTTTTTGAATAAGATCCATGTAAGAAATGTTGAAGACACTGTGAGAAATATATTTTTGTTGTTGTTTAGAAGCAGTTTCTTGGCTTCAGAACAGAGTCCTCTCATTTAACTCCTTTGCAATTTAGCCACATTCACTGAGTTGTTTCAAACGGTAGTACTAACTGATATTGTTAGTAATTGTGTTCTTCCTGTATTATAAAACTATTTATGTATTGTTATTAATTTAGTCAGAATACTGAGTTAAATGATTTTTTTTTCACTTTTCAGTTGGTTTGATAGGGGTTAAATATAATCTAACTGATAGCACCTGGTAGAATGAACTGTAGTTTGTTTATGCACTACACTTAGTTCTTTGGACATACACCGTGTGTATTCAGTCAGCATTTTCTCAATAAGCAGTAATAGTTTAACTGTGTTTTAGTTGACTCATTGGCTTATTTTAGATATATCCTTCTTCCAAATAAACATTCTTTTAAAACATACTTTTTTTTTTTCAAGTGGGATTGAGGGTTATGATTCTGAAAACAAAATCAGTTGTCTCGGTCTGGTTTCCTTTGAAAAATTATTTGAGATATATCAAAATAAATAATCAATAAACAGTAATAAGAATAGGAAAGAATTTTATTTGGGCCAAATTGAGGTCTAGCCCAGAAGCTGGGTTCCCAGATTACTCTGAGGCACTGTTCCTGAGAAGCATGGCTTCCAGCACAGTTTTATGTCTTGTCAGAACAAAGAAACATTGTCAAAGTCAGGGATATATTTCTTCAAAGTTTAAAAAAAAAAAAAAAAAACAGACCAGCGAGTCGGTATGGCCGTGACACCTGGGAAGGGAGTCTTATCATTATAGGAGGAACAGCATTGGCATCCTGGCAAGAGGGGCATTGAATCTTTGTTTTTAATAAGAACTTTGTTTACTTCTGGTCAGTATACCTTTATTTTAATAATTAAAGCATATGTACAATGTATGTTTGATATGCCGCAAACAGGCTGTTTTTCAGTTAGCATAAAATTCAAGTTAACTAATGTGTAAGCCAGAATGACTTCCCTATATTTCAATATGTGAAAATGTATCAGATGTATTGAAGATTTGTTATACAGAAGATTTTATTATACCCACTTATTTCTCTGGGCTCAAACAAATTCTTTACAAATGTTTAGCTGTCTATCAGGCAGATAGAAATTTTAGGATAGATAAATTTTATGATGTTACTCTTTTCTATCAGTGGTCGGTCTTAGAAATGAGCGATGTTTTGTGGAATCAGCTAGCTTTAGGATATCAGTAGCTGAATCATGCCCGTGATTTCTCGAGCTTTTGTGTGTGTTACAGAATATCAGGACTACCCAACCAAGAAAGTTTGATGTCACCACTTTTTACCTAAATACAAGCTATGTGAGTGCTTGAATTCAATTTAAGTAGACAGTTACCAGTTTAAGCCAAAGAAGTCAAGATATTTTTTGTTTTAGAAGCTAAGTCTATGCATTTCAGCCACAACAAAAAAAAGGAGTAGGGGAGGAGATAGTTTCATTCCACTTTAGATGTGAGCTTTTTAATCAAGGAGGACAGTATTTGTGAGGTAGCATTTTTGTATTTCAGTTTCCAAGTACTTTTAAATGAGCTAAACAAGGATAACAATTGTGGGACAAGATATATTACTATACTTCAGCTGTTGTTTGGACTTACACCTTATGAAGTTTGTGGGATAGTTACCTTCATTCTTTAGAATTGTTGCTTTGGGATAGTCCTTTTTCCTTGGTTAGCTACAGGAGGCATCCGTACCCTTTTTTTCTTTCTTTCTAGTTATACATTTTTAATGGATAGCGTGAATTATACTTCTGCTGAGCAGCAATGGTGCATTTGGAATTCTGGAGATTTCTTTTACAGTGCCATATCGATTTTTAACTTTTGAGGGTCATGTGATATATTAAATATCATAGGAAAAACAAGATGTCATCTTTGCTATGTGAGAATTGGTAGATATCCAAATGGATACTTCCCATTAAGAATTTTTTTTTTGCTGTAAGTGATAGGAAAATTGCTAACTGTTTTGGGCATTTAATTTTTACTGTTTTTTTCCTTCTCTGTACCCTTAATCCTACATTAATTTGGGTAGATTTCTTTGAGGTAGTAAACTTTTATTGTGACCTTTTGAATGAGGTGGAAGTTCCCAGACGTTAGGAACACTTTGGTAGAAAATGCAGAAGTGCTGAATAAAGGAAATCTGATTGAATAAAGGAAGCTTAGAGAAGAATAAGAGGTAATAATTAACTGGTTTAAGAAATCTAATAGAAGACAGTGAGTCAGTTTAAAACAGTTAGGAACCCAAAATAAGCAATGTAGGGAGCCTAGTGGGTGAGAATAGTGAAGTCAAAGGGTTAAAAAGGAGGAATGATTTTAGTAATAGCTGTAGGGCTAGCTCTGATGGTTTAGTAGTCAAGGTCTGTGATCCGCATAAATGGGACTAGGATGTCCTTGTGGGTTCTGTTGAGTTCTTGAGGGAGAAGGGTTTGGCAGCCAAGTCACGGCAGACAGGATGGCAGAAAGGGGCATCAGAGTGAACATGAAAAGACCAGAAGGATGACTGTTTAAGAGCTGTTTGGGATGTGTGCCGAGAAAAGTGATGTGATGGTAAATTCTTCAGGAAAAAGGAGTTTGGGGTATGAAATGAAGAAGCTGAGGCGTTCAGATGATAAAACTGATACCTAAAAGGCTACTGAGACTTTAAAAATCGTTTTTGTTTAAATGGAAAGAGTTAATCATTGAAATTGGCGAGGATTTACATTTATACAGGTTTCATTCTTTAAATGAAAATAGTTGAAGAAAACTAAGCTGCCATAAAGTCAGCCTGATTTGGGGGTTCTGCAAAAAGCAAATTAAATAGACACAGTCCTTCTGTATGAACCAATTTACAGTTAAACAACTTAGAGCTCACTGGGTATTATTCAAAAGAATGTACCAAAACTTTTTAAAAGACAAGAAAATAATTTGTACAATATCAGCTAAGGTCTAGTTTTGTTTGGCATAACTTCTCTGAAAGCTGATTTAGCTGACCACATAGTACATCCTGTTTGGTAACTGTCTATATCTCTTACTAGCAAACAGAAACACAGAAGACAGAGACTCAAAGAGGAAATAGAAGGAGCAGAATGCACACTTGCGGAGTGGCAAAGCTCAGAATACATAATCACCATAATGTGACTTGACTTCTAGGTCATTTTGTGTATGTATGTATGTGTGTGAAAGTGCTGTGGTTTTATGTGTTTATACAAATGTAAAATACCCACCTGATAACGGATTTTTGACTGCATGTGATAATCTTTTTGTTTTGGTTATGAGAAGATAACAAAGTATTAAACTTCCATTTATTGTCTTTCTTAGTAATGAGGCTTGACTTAAGCCTGCTAACTCACAGCTCTGCTAAGTTTTTCAATAGTATCATTTAACCTTTGCAATGGAACAGAATCCCTCCTTCAGCACGACCTGCAGATTTTCTACAAGATACTGATTTAGTAAATCAACACACATACACTTCTTTTTCTTAATTTTTAAAAATTAGCAACTTTAGCATTAAGGTTTTTGTTTTTGTAACTAAAGTTGAATTCATAAGGACTGTCTGGTATTAGTTTATTTTCCTTTAAGTCAGTGATTCCCTGACATGACTCTGTGGATTAATGCTGGCCCGTGACAATGCTTTTACAGGGAACGTAAAGTGAGTTCTTCATAAATCTAAATGTGTTCAGTGGAAAGTTTTTAGTCCAAGATTTTGTCCTTTCTACATTTTCATGTTAAAATGTACACTTATTTTTAAGGGAAAGGTTATTTTTAACTTGGTCAAATTTGGGTGGAAATTTGACTGAGTTAATGAGATCTAAATGTTTAGAAACCACTGCTTAAAACTCTTTAACCACAGACACAACCCTCAAGTGCTTAGTATATCAGAGAGACTCTCCTAAACTAACATAGGTAGGAATCTGTAGGTCAGACTCCTTTTTATTTTTATTTTTAAAAATTTTTTGATTTACAATGTTGTAGTAGTTTCTGGTGTACAGCATAGTGATTCAGTTATACACATACATATTCTTTTTCCTATTCTCAG